AATCTAGGGTACCTTCTTAGGTGTTCTGGAGCCATCGCAACTTTTGTTATTTTCGGAGCATACGCACAGAGTAGCACTGGTACCAACTAAAAACCCATTTTCAAATTCTGAAAGATAACTAACGAGCCACCACACTAAGTCTCATCTCTGAGATAATCTGAAAATAACACATAAGACTCCCGAACCTAAATGAATTATTCCCTTGCACAGCACTGCAAAGCAAAACAGGACATTAACTTGTATCCTCAATTGTAGACTGCAATTATTTTGGGAGTAATTTCATTCAAAAGGTGCAAAGGTAAAGTTATATTTGTTTCCTTTTACAGCATGAAAGAGCATAATTCTATCATACACTAAAAAGATGACAATACTACTGATTCCTGAGATATTTACAACCTATGCCACAGCCGTTTAAAGATTTCACTACATTTTCCTATTAGAAATTCTCTGATGATAGAGGCCTCCAGACACATAAATAATGACAGCTTCTCACCCATTCCCACAAAACCCACCTCTCTTTTCTCTATTCCATCCATCACTAGCAACTAGCCCTCATCTTCAAAATGCCTTACCACTTCCTCTCCTCACCAGTCATCAGTGGCTCACAATCAAGTCAGACTCCATCTTTATCTTACCCACTCCCATTGCCCACTTATTACATTTTGTGGCAATCATATGCCTCCTCCCTCCACGTCCACACACCTCCCATGCCTTTGAGGAATTCTATGAAAACATCTGTGGTTCTACTTCACTGCACTCTTATCCCTGCAGGAGAAGTAATGCTGACATCCAGAGCAACACCACACTCATCACCTCATGCAGGACTTATGGTTTCAAAAAAAAATAAAAAAAAAAAAAAGGTGCCTAGACCAGCACTTCTGGACTAGGTAGGAACTTTTTCTCTTCTTTTCTCTTTTGTGCAGAATTAAACGTAACTGTTCTCACTAAACTGCAACATTCATGGATATAAATACAGAATCCACACTTGTAGCAGTCGGAACATTTCAGAGGAAGCACAGTCCCTGTCCTCAAAGACCATATCTAATTTTGTATTAAAATATTCTAAATCCCTCTAGCTTATCCATTCCCCCCACCAAACCCAAACACGTCAATGCCTTTCAATCAAGGAAAGGTCAAGGTCTCAAACACAACAGCATCCCACCTCAGGTTTCACAAATAGTTTTTGATAAATTTCATGTTATGACAATGAACATGAAATTTACTCAAAATAAATCCAATCAAGAAACAGAAAACTATGCCAGACACCATATGCTTCTGTCCTGACACAACTGAGAGCATTTTACAGAAAGCAGGTCACATGTTGGAAGCTTCATTTTCATTATAAGTCTTAATGCAATTATTTCTCAAGCATAACTGCAATAGAAGGTGTGGGGAGTTGGGGTTTGTGTAAACACACCCCCAAATTTCAGGCAGAAACTCTCTCCTTTCCAGCTAAATGGAAACAACTTTACTCCAATGGTTATATTGCTTCTGTAAGAGTACTGTACCTCAAGTTGCATGATAAGGTGGCAAACAAGTGAAAGTAGAAAAATTAAAAAAAAAAGAAAACATCGTATTTGTAATTGTGATTTCTACTATAGTAAGCTATATGATTCAGCCCATGAGATTCAACTAGCCCTCAGCAAAATAAGGAAGAAAAAAACCCAGACACTATTATCAATACCATTTTCTATGCAACCATTCCAGTAACATGCCCAGTCCTATAGTTTCTACCTCACTTTCTCAGTGAAGATCATGAAGTCACTATATACCAAGCCAGCCTCCTCATAATTGCACAATACTCTTTGGACTGTTTGGGAGCCCTTTCAAGGACTTACAATTGTATTTCTAGAAGCTTTCTCACAGAATTTTACTCAAGAGTCAAACTGTGCCTCTTCATCCTGAGGAGGACACTCTGATAGAGCCTCCAGAGAACAAGGCTCCTTTGTCCTTCACTGCCAGGAGTGGGGCCTCCCACAGGAGGGATGAAAGGCAGCACACCCTCACGAAAGCATCCCCATCTCCATTTTGTGTCATGAACCAGTGGGGCACACGTGGGTCCACAGAAATTTCTACCTCACTTGGGAATTCTGGAGTTTGTGCACCCCGAAAAACACTTCAACTCAAGGGAGGGAACAATCAAAGAAATGAAGTCCTTACTACATTTTTCTTCCTACCCTTCTAGATGTTAATTGATAGGAAGTTACTCCATATATCACCTCCTCCTCCACCTAAAAATCTGACAGCTACAAAACCTGCCCTTTTCTCCTCTGCCCATTCTTCTCAACACACAACTCCAACACTGCAGCTCACCTGCACACACATACCGCATCATGAAAGCCCCCCTTGCAGCCTATTAAATCCCTTCCACACACAGCCTCAGCTGGACTGAGACACCCTCATCTTTACTCTCACCTCAGTTGCATAAAGCATAACACGTTCTGAAACAACCAAGTACATTGGCTAGAAGATTTTCTTAACTGAGAGCACAGTTCAAAGGAGGAATCACTGTTCTGATTGTCTGGATTTGGTTTAATTACGTTTAGCTGTAAGTTCTGCTACCAGATTACACATTCCAGGGTAAGCTTGTGAGGGGGTGTTCAGAGCTCACCTCCAAGTCCACACTGCCTTGGACACCTGCAAGGATTTCCATCACCTTCCAGGACCATCACAAGCAAAGGAAGCGACTACCCAATTGAACCAAAGATAAAACACAGAAACAATCCCTTTCATACACTTCAGGCTCATATACCTGAAACTCTCCTCTCAAGCAGCAGCTCCCCAGCTCATTACAACCAGCTCCCACTGAGGGCAGCAAGGCTCCTTCCCACTGCAGGTAAGGCAAGTGCTCCCCATCACCCCTTCCAGGGCCCAAGTGCTGCTCCTCTGCCACAGTGCTCAGCCTCCACCCAACCAACCCCTGCCTCATCTGACTCTTTTGCTGGGTCTGCTCCCAGGGAACACTTTGGCCAGGGCACCCCAGAAAGCATGTTCCCCATCTCTATGTAAGCCCCACAAGGGTCTCATCTCCCACTGATGCAGCACATCTACCAGTTGGGAACTACTGCACTCAACATTTCCTAGCTGGCCCTGCTTTTTCCCTTTCTGCAGATCTCATCTCCAAATAGGAGAATGATTCTTTCCATTTTATCGGAAAGAGTCCAAAGAAATTTGAAGACCAATAAGCGGTAAACCTTAACAGTTTGTCGCCAAGTTATTAAAGTTTGAAATATTCCAGATATAAGCAAGCACAAATATATTTAATAATTTGCATAATATATCTAGAATTCTATGGCAATTATTATATTCAATCACACGAACTTTCAGATGAAGCTAAGATAAGGAGTAGTCTTTATTTACAATAACAATAAGTAAAAATTCCCCATCGTTTTTCAGTGTTGATGAAAATTAATAGCTTTCATGTAGATAAATGAAGTGTAACTTTCTGTCCAGTATGCTTTTCCTAAAGAATGACAAGTGCCTGAAAAGAAACTGAACTAGAAGAAAATCTTCACAGAAAGAAAAAAAGACTGCGGTTTTGATTTCCTTTAAATACAGACACATAATGACTGGGCTTCTTTTCCAAGATGACACTAGATAGCAGCTCTAAGTATTTTTATCCAGCACAATCCATTTATTACTCTTTGTTTTCTCTTTCCACAAACAGCCTAAGACTTTCCATTTCCAAGACTTCAAATTGAAGACTTTCATATGGCTAACTTAAGTCATGCAAAGTTCAAAAACAGTATAAAGGCAGAACAGTATTACAAATGTAAATCTAAACGTACACTAATTGCATTCAGTACACAACAGAAAGCTTATCCTCAATAATCGAGAAAATTAAGTGTAGGTCTTTATTAAAACACAATCAGAACCAGGAAATTAGAACTGTATTGCTTCTTGTATCTCTGTTTACAATTGGAAAGGATCACAAGTGATTATTAGTTCAGATTTCTGTTTTGCTCTAAAGTAGGCCAGCCAGCTCAGCACTTTCCTTAAGATTATGAATACTTGTCTGCCCTACATACGGTTTAGGCTGGAACCAATCAGTTGAGCTGAAACACGCAGCAAACCCGACTATTTTCATGTCATTCATTTTAAGCTATAATGAAGTGCACAAAACAGGTATAAAATGATCAGATTTTAAATACTTTTAAAATTTGCTTTGCTGTTATTATCATTCACTAAGGAGCTCAATGATTTCCTCACTATTGGATTAACACTTCATCTAGATTCAAGAATAAGTTGTTATTCATTAATAACTCTTTAACCACTTGTTTTCTCCACTAGTTTCCATTTCATTTTTGTACACTGATTATCTCATAAAATAAGAAGAAAACAGAGCACTGAACTTCATCTAATAGACTTTCTCAGTACTAGGACATTCAGGATTCAAATAGGCTCTGCAAGAAGCCTTAAATCAAAACTTTAAAAACATATGAAACAAAATAATTCCTTGAATTTTTAACTGAAATAGTTTTATTTACTCTCTCTCTCCCCAACACAAGCCATCTATAAGATTTTTTGTTGCTGTTTGAATGAAGAGAGGTTAAATAATAGACGGTTGCATTCTTGAGTTCAAAATAGTGATGTCTTCAAACAAAATTGGCTATTTGGAAGATCAGGACTGCAGAAAAAGCTGTGTTTAAATTGTCTTTAGTTTGTTTTTCTTAAAAGTTGACTAGTCTCATTTTCTAGAGCTGCTAAGCACTCACAGACCTAGTGAAGTCATTATCTTGAAAATATAAGTTAACTATGAAAACAAAAAAACTTTCACGTTTGGTTTTTCCTTTTACATTTAAGATATAAACACTGTCAAACCACTAGTAACCATTTCTGTCAGATTACACCACTCCAAACTATCAGTAGGTATCAACATCAAGGCAAAGACAAAAAAAAAAGAAAAAAGTTTACAAGGCAAGTTTGTTTAAAACAAAGACAACACACTTAGTATTTTGATGTATGAGGCACAGTACTTTTTTAACAGGGGAGAAGCATACCTTTCATCAGCTGCAGAACTCTGATGTCAGGTTCTGATATAATCCAACTGGTCTCAGCAGCATTTTCTACAATATCCACAAGTTTCAGCTTCGAGAGACTCTTCCACTTCCCCCAGGAGACCATTAACAATTATGTACGAATGCAAACATTTAAGATGCTAAGCAGCTGTACGGTTTTGTACCACGTTAAGCACCCCTGAAGAATCCCAAGATGTATTCCACCATTCAAAGAGTAATGCAGTATGGCACCCATCACAGACTGATGTTCTGGCAACCATCCCATTTTCCCGACAACCATGTTTTGACCTATTCAAATAAGAGGAAGAAGTGTTAGTTCAGAACAGTAACTGCCACACCACTTGGGGACTAACATACAAATATAAAGTTTCATTCTTCTGAATAATTTCAAACACATATTTCTTCACAGATTTAGACACCTCCTAAACTCAAAGCCTGAAGATGGCATTTTGCTTTAAAAACATCACCAGGATGGAGTGTAACAGAAGAAGATTTAAGAAAAAGTCTTACATATATCTCTACAGATTGCACAGTCTTATATTCCAGAAAGTACTGAAGTGACAGGAAAGAAAGGTAATATAAAGGCTCTTCAACTGCCCTGCAGGTGTTTCAAAACTAATGAAAACAGTAAGTCGATAAAAAAGCCCCAAGCAGCAAAAATAAATCTCCTCGACACTTTTGAAGGAAACATATTGGTCCAATGGATGAGAGAACTTAATGGTGACCTTTTTTCCCTCCTTAGCCCTATCTCAGTGTCCCCACAGCACCTCCACCAGCAGATGTGCTACTTCAGTTGAGACCTGGACTATGAGAACTACAGTTGACACTTGGACTATCTGGGAGCAAGCCAAAGAGTCCAAACCCACGTCTGTCTACTCTGGTACTCCCTCTGTGCAATTCCTTCAGAAGTACGAACAGCAAATTTTGCTTAGGTTGGGAAGGGGACTATGAGGAATGGAGAGAAAAACTTTAGTACTCTACATGGGATGGAACAATGACATGAAGAACATCATCACATCTGCCAAGATGGGAGTGCAGGAAAGTAGAAAGAACAAATTTCTGCACCAAAGACGAGGGAGAGGAACTAAAAGAAGCTTTTAGAGACTGGAAGATGTCTCTGTACACAGAGATAAAGACAAGAAGAAAGGAGAAGGTGAATATTGGTGAAGAACTATTGCTAGAAGCTCCGTCTGTGCAACTGAGTAACATGCAGATAGGGTCGACCACAGAAGAATGAGTTTAGAAGAGAGAACAAGAAGAAGCTTTATGTTTGCTTCACATCAGGAGAAACTTCAGTATACCTATGCATGCATGAAAGGAAAGACCAAAAGGAGTTTTTCATGAGAAATGCAAGCAAGCATAAAGGTAGAAGAGTAGGTGGTAAGGGATCAGGAAGGAGGAGAAGGAGTGACAACAGAAAGGGAAAAAGTAGAGGCTTCAGAAATTCTGACACGGATAGATCTAAGGAGAGAGAGTGACAACTAAGAAATTGGGACAAGAAAATAACACAGGAAAGAGAAAGTAGTGAATAGGGACGAAAAAAATGAGAAAAAAGTTATAGTAGTTACATAGCATAGAAAAAAGTATGGGTAAATAATAACATATTACATTGATCAAGATAATTAAGAAAAGTACAAAGAGCACATGAGTAAGTTTTCTGAAGTTTCGATGCTTGCTCTAGAAAGTGCGAATACCAAAAGGAACGGAACAAGACCTAAAACGACTCTTGCGTTTACAAAGGGATGAAGCAGATTGCACCGTGCAGGGGAAGCTCAGCCGACCAAGGGACAGCCTGGACTGACCTATTCTATTCTCTCCTTTCGCTATGATCAACGCATTCGGAAGAACAAAGTCCTCCCTCCAGTCCCTCTCCTCCTAAAATTGTCCCTCGGCACTTCTGTGCACCTTGTTCCCCTAGGATGGTTCCACAGCAGCAAATGTGAGACTCTCTGTGTGTCCCGACCCCCCCCGACCCAAGCTGGCACACGGCGGAGCCCCCACTTTGGTCCTGCTGCGTGCTGCCCTGCCCAGCCCCACGGCCACCACTGGCCCCCCACTCCCTGGCCAGGGCCGCCAGGACTTCTACAATCCCAAAAAGTTTCCACTGTCTTCAGCTTTCCTCTGTCTCAACTCTTGAAAACACAGTCCGACCCAGAAAGCCGTCCCAGTCCACTTCCCTCCGCACAAAAAAAGAAGTAAGTTAAGCCCCTAAAATAAAACACAAAGCAGGCACAAGAAGGAGACAAGACCCCTTCGAGTAGTGCCCCCCAGCCCTCATTACCGGAGCTCAGGCAGAGTGACTGCCTCACGCTCCCCAAAAATACCTGCATGTGCTCCCAAAAGTACAAAGGAAAGGCTGGACCGGCCCGCAGCCGCCTCCGCTGCGCTCCCAGCCCCAGGCGCGGACGGCTGGGCGGAGGGGGGAGCGACGAGGGAGCCGGGAAAGAACAATAAACCCCAAGTCCAAACGTACCTTCTCCTTTCTCTAAACTGTGAAACCAGATTTCCTTCGAAGCCTACGGCGGGGCTCTTTACTTTTAAGCGGCGGGAGAGCTCGGAGAAAGTTGAGTAAATCTCTCCGGATAAAGTTGCCGAAGATGAGATAACCCGGGAGAGGCGAGGGAGAGATGGAGAGTTAATCCGAGTTTCTCCTTTTGTTCAAGTTGCCCGAGCAGACAAAGAGCCGGCAGCGGCGGCAGGTCCCCCGCGCCCCTGCTCCCCCCGCGGCCCGGGCGCCGCCGGGGTCCCGTTCTGCCCTCGCCCCCCGCCTCCTCCCACCACCGCAACTTTCCGTCTGTTCCATCCCTTCTCAGCCGCGACCCCGGCTCCAGCGCAAAACTTCCCTCGAACTGAACCTCCCAGAAAAAGAAAACAATTTAATTCAAGGCGGGGGAGTGGGGGTTGGAAAGGGAGAGAACCATCTCTCAAATCATTATTTCCGGTAGATGCACCTCTTTGTTTGGATTCCCCCGACTGTCAGTGAGGACAAGCCTCTGGGGATCTGCTTTCGGACAGTTTGATCTCCCGGAATGAGATGGGCAAACGCAGGACGTAAAGAAAAATAACTTTAAAAGAAAGAGAAGGGGGGGAAAAGTAAATACAAAACAATATAAAACTCGGGAGTTGCGAAACGAACTCTTTTTTCATGGATACGGGAAGTACAGAAATAAACAACTGAAGGGGAATTTCGGAAGACTGTTGCCTCTCCTCCCCCTCCCCTTCGCTCTTTTCCAGAGACCGTAACAAAAAAGAGCCCCCGAAAGCTCCTGGCCGCGGCTCCGTGCCACCGCCGCCAGCTCCTGGCATCCCTACCTGTTGCGTAAAGTGCAAAGATGGGCCCGA